TTATTTTACAAACTAGCCCTAACATGCTTATAGTTAATGTTCTGACCAAAACAACGATGATTAAAAGATGTGAAAAAACGGCCAAACATGTGAAAATAACTCATTTAATATCTTTGTCCCGTGCATCGCACGGGGTACGTACTAGTTATTTCTAACAAATTAGAAATATGATTGATTCTTAAAAAGAATCTCTAATTGACAATTAATAATTAAATGTTTTATATTGTATTTTAAATTTTTTTAAAAATATATATGGTAAGTGTATCTCTTAAATTAAGTGTATTAAGTATGGTAAGTGTATTTCTTAGATTTATTTTGATTTTGATTCCATATTTTTGATTGTATTCCTAAAAAAAATTGGATAAAAAAGGTATGCTAATAAATAGATATTTTGTTAATTTACTATTCTTAGACAATAATTAATGAAATTGGCGGGAAAGTATTTCTAAAAATGAATTATGTTAATCCTTATTATATATTAATAGATTAGTATTTTTTTATATTTAAAACTTTAAAACTTTTTATTTGTATTTTATTTTTTATTTATGATATATTAAAATAATTATATTTTACGATCTATATTTATGGCATCTATATTGTATATATAAATATAAAGTAATTTCATCTATCTTTATAACAAAACTAATTTTAATTATCAAAAAACTTAATAGAATATCAAATAAAAATATACTTTGTAAAAATAATAAAATTTTAATTCATCAATACACCATAAAATAATTAATTAAATGTGATTTTTTTTTCATAAATTTTGGATAAAAAATGAAAGTTAAGTATTGCACGAAATAAATTATAACAAATATTATAAAATATTGTTTCTCGATTTAAATACACTATATAAGGAACTAAATGTTATGATGTTGTTTAAAATAAAAAATATAAATGGATATTATAATTAAATATAATAAAATAGTTTTATGTTTCATAAATTTAATAAATAATACTACCTCCTATTTTTAATATATGTCGTTTTGGAAAATTGCACACAAATTAAAAATATTTTTTTTTCAATAATAACCTTATTTAATGAAGATAGAGATGAATGTTTTGAGAAAAAGTGAAGAATGAATATGAAAAGACGTAATGTATTTATTGACTAAATGAGGGTAATAATGGAATAATATCTACAAAATATCCAAAACGACATTTATTTAGCAAATAGTTGATAAAGCTAGAATGACATTTAAAAAAAATAGGAGGGAGTATATTTTTGTGCAAATTATTAAATTATTAAATTATATAAAACCAGAGACACGTACTCTATAAAATATAAAGTATAATCACAATACAAGAAAACTTTTTTATTTTAAAAAAATTTCGAATCAAATATATGGAGTTGTAAATAGTATCTGCTTTAGACATATATAATTTTAAAAATATAACTGTTGATGTCGAAAATCGGACGATTAATGGTTGAAAATAAGTCGACTAACTTGTATGAAATTCAAAAACAAAATGATTAAAAATGAGTGTTTTATTAGAGAGTGTTTCTCTCTTTTTTGTTGGATGGAGAATGATAAAATGAAGAGATCCCTTTCTCTCTCCTTTTCTTTAGATATATGTATATGGCCTCCTCTTATAATTACAAGTGGGTACTTAAATAAACTAGTGTTGATACCCGTGCGATGCACGGGGTATACTATAGATTAATATTTTATTATTAAAATATTGTTAATTTATTTAATACAACATGATAATTGTACCAGACTCAATATATCAAGTCAGTAATAAATATAAATTTTGTTTGGATATCTTTTATAATTTATTTTACCGGTTTTGACTATTTAATATATAAATCTTACTATTTATAATTTTATAGAATAGTATCGATATCTTGATATTAAATATGATGTTTGTATACAATTAATGGCTTACAAATACTTGTAAAATTACTAATTATCTTAATTTTATAACTTTTTGAACAAATCATATTTTGCATATGCTCGATAGCTAACTAATGTTTTAACCGTAAAATTTATTTTACGTTATTCTAATTTTAGATGCATGAAATAATAATTGTTTGATAATTAAATTTAAACTGTAGTAACTTTAATCGCTTATGCAACACATTTTTTTTCATAGTAAACTATTTATTTTTATTTTAAATTTTTTCGTATATATTTATATATTTACTAAATATATTCAACATA